AACTGTGTAGCGAAAAAAAACATATTTTAAATTAATTAATTTATAATATATATATATATATATATATATATATATATATAGAGAGAGAGAGAGAGAGAGATATCACACACACATATACACATACATGTAAGTACATACACACGTATACATACATACATAAATATTTGTAAATTAGTTGATTGATGTGATCTTCAGCATCCTGACTCCAGAGTATCAGAGACGGACCCGTCCCATTCAGTTGTATGCACATTTGACTGCTTTTTTTTTTTTGCTTTTTTATCCATACTTATCATTGGTCCCTTTTTTTCATTTTGTGTGTTTATTTTTTCATTTGTGTGTGTTTCTGTGTGTGTGCATGTATATGTGTGTGTGTGTGTGCGTGTGCTCCCATTCATTTTGTCTGCACAGATGTGCGTACATGTAGAATGTTGTGATTATTTGTCTTTTCCGTTTTTTTGTCTTTTTTTACTTTGCTCTTATACTCTCAAATAAAGGTTAAGGAGTATCTTGAAAAGGACAACATGAATAAAGACAAAAAGAAAACTTATTTTGACCAATATCATTTTTACTCTTGTATATAAATACTTTTACAAAATAAAATTCTTGTATTTGCCTTGATGATGTCTCTTATAGGATGAAACACATCAGCTACATTACATTCTCCTTTTGTCTCATATATATATATATATATATATATATATATATGTATGTATGTACGTGTGTGTGTTTGTGTAGTAAGAATATGTGTGTGTGTGTGTTTGTGTAGCATATGAAATTAGTTTTTAAATTTGTTTTTGGTTCTTAGGACACCAAGTACCAAAGCTTTAGGGCATTGCTTACGGGTCTGTCTGTTAAAGAAAATATTTGGAATTCACAAATTGAAAGGAAATTAAATCCACAAATTAAGATAGAAAAAGAATTTCTCTGACAAAAAACAATTTTAAAAATTATTCAAGACACAACAATAAATCACTGACCCAGAAACTGACATTGTTTTGCAAACTTTAAATCATGTCAACTCATAAATGGCTTGTCATAAAATGTCAACTCATAAATGGCTTGTCATAAAATGTCAACTCATAAATGGCTTGTCATAAAATGTCAACTCATAAATGGCTTGTCATAAAATGTCAACTCATAAATGGCTTGTCATAAAATGTCAACTCATAAATGGCTTGTCATAAAATGTCAACTCATAAATGGCTTGTCATAAAAAGCAAGACTATAATCACAAAGTGCAAAGCTGATTTTGGTAAAAAAAAAAAAAAGAAGATTTTAAATGTTTTGTGGAAAACTAAATGAAAATTAAACGAAGCTGGTTGACGACAGCTGCTCCTGCTGCTTTTTTTTCTTTTCCCCTTGCAGCATTTTTAGGATTTTTTTGTTTAGGTTTCTACACTTACACCAGAATTCATTTGAGTTCAACAACTGCTTGAAGTTAAAAGAAGATGATTAGTATGAGATTGGAGTCCTGCTGGATTTCTTGCAGAGTCTGTTTTGAATAGCATAGACATAACTTCAGTTTCAGCCCAAACCATGCACAAATGGCATTATGGATTGAGCAATTCTTGGAGATTGTCAGTTCCAAGACCGATTTTCATAATAATCAATAATTTTCATCTTGGTAAATGAATGGCTGGAGATAAAAAAAAAAAAAAAAATATACGAATACGGATGGGAAATAATTTTTTCTTTCTTTTCATATTTTTTTGTTATCTAATTTCTTACACTAGTTCGGAAATTTGCATCCTATTTAGATTCTCTTTCTATCAATTTAAACTTGATCGACAGAAATGGATAAAAAAATTCTGAAATAGTTTCCATATTTTCTTTTGAGAATTATTTTTATTCATTGACATTTTGAAAGAGTTGGGAGGTTATTATATTATGTGATTTTTTTTTGTATTGAAATTATTTTTTTCTGATATTAATTTAAGCATTACTTTAATTGTTACTCTCAAATTTGAATATGTATTATATTTTATTTTATATACTATTTTATATTCTTTTTTATTTGTTCCTTATCCTATCATTCTATTTTATAGAGATTTTTAAAATCTTACTATTTTCTAGAGACTTAATAGGCAGCTTCAACAAAAATATAAAAATAATGAATGACAAAGATCTTTTTTTTATTTTAAATTATATAACCAATGAATAATATGGTGACTGGAGCAAGTTGTAAATATGTATAAGTGGCATAGTGGTTATTAACACATAAAAAGGAGGAATTTTGGACTGTTATCCTCATCTTCATTGCCATATTCACACTATTGAGGCTGTTGTATGCTTCGGCCTTTTTCAAGTGATTGGCATTTCAAACCAAACCCTTTATTTCATCCACCAGGGGGGACTCAAGGACATATGTCCCAGTCGATAAAGATGGTGGTTAAATCCAGTGACTAGACCCAAAGAGATCTGAGTTCAATACCAGGCTACAGTAGTGGTGAACCAATAACTTGAAGAGCTGAGTTAAAGGGAAATAATGGTATGTGGAACAAGAACAATCTACCCCAGTGGATGAAATAAAGGGTTCAGTTCGAAATTCCAATCACATGAAGAAGGCCAGAGTGTACAATGGCTGAAACATTGTGAATATGGCATTGAAGAAGGGGATAACAGTCCAAATAATGTAAATAATCAATAAAGGTTGGTGATGGAATTGTTATGTTTTTTGCTATGCATTTATATCCAAGGAGAATCAAACAGCACAAAAGTAAAAATACCAAAATTCCCCCTTCTTTTTCTCCAGAAGTTATACTCTGAGAAATTTTTAATAAAAGTGAACCATATTAAATTTAGATTGATAAACGTTTCCTGTATGTTCTTTATCTTATCATTCTGTCAGATTCCAATCCATATTTGATTCCAACTCTCTCTCACTCTCTCTACCCCCTCTCTCTCTCTCTCTATATATATATATATATATATATATATATATATATATATATATATACACACTTCAGTTCAAAAGTTTGAGGCCACCCTTGATAATTTTTTTAAATTGGCCCCCAAAATAGTTATTTTGTATTTTTAAATAAAAGAAAATTATTATACATGGTTAAAAAAAGGGAGACATGATTTTTTTATTAGAAATTTTATTATGACAAAAAGAAAAAAAAAACATTTTATGATTAAATTTTGCTCTTATCAAAATATCCTTTAGCCTTGATTATTGCAGCACAATTTTTTTGGAATTCATTGTAAAAGTTTCTCAAAGTATAAGTTTGATAATTGATTCCATTTTTTTTATCAATGACTCTAAGGGCTCTTTTACATATTCTTTTTCACTCTTCTGTCAAGTTGATCCTATGCTAATTCTGGGGGTGGCTTCAAAATTTTGAACAGTAGTATAAATCATACAAATAATTATATATTTGTTCCCTACCAATTGCTGCTACTCAAAATTTCATGAACATAGTAATTGTCAGGTATAAATTTATGCCTGATAATTGCTATGTACATGAAACTAAGTAGCACTGAGCAGCGAGGAATGAATATATAATTATTATAAATTTTAGCTCAAACACTATTTTACTATTACTACCAGCACTAACCTTGTATTATTTTATATTTATTGTAATGGTAATATTCACTGTTTCTTTATAAGGAAACACTCTGAATTCATTGACTAAGCAGCCAGTGTTGCATTCAGTTGAAATTTACATAATCTTTCTTAAAACAATTTTTCAGGAACATAGTCCAACTGTTGTTATCACTCTTTCAACTATTTCTAGGGACCTACCTTCCAAAACTTTTATTTGAAGTGCAATGTCAACATATGTCATTGTTTTCTCTTTGAAGACTATCCTTCTTTGAACCTTGTGAACTGGCACTACAGAATCACAAAGGACTGTCTCAAATAGCACAAACCACATCACTTAAGGACTTTCAGAAGCAGCAACAACTAAAATGAATAGTACATGTAACTTGAAGAGAAAACAATGACAATCAAGTTGTTGACTTTCCACACTACTTCAAACAAAAGGTTAGGCAGGAAACCCTCTGCCAATAGTGAAAAGAACAATAGCAGCTACTGGACTTGTGAAAACTATTTTCTTGAAAATTTCTTTTCAGAGAAAGATTTTGTAAATTTAGCCTGAAAGTAGTACTGGCAAGGAATACTGAATGTTATATATATATATATATATATATATATATATATATATATATATACACACTTTAAATGATGAGTCACATGATCAAGCAGCAATTAATCAATCATAAAAGAACCAATCACAGTTAAGTAATTACACGAAAGTCTACTGATTATATTAGGTCATGAATATTCAAGAAATTTATTCAAGGTTGTTCAAAGTCAATTATTCCTGAGAGATAAAACAGTGATAATAGATTTTCCTAATTTTTACTGGACACTTGGGGTAGATTGTTCTAATTCCACATGCCATGCCAATTCTAGATGTCTCAGTATCAGTTATCTCCCTTTAGCTCAACTCCCCAAGTTTTTGTTCACCTCATCTGTGAGTTCAATACCTGGCTACAGCTGCACTGAACAAAAAATTGGAAAGTTGAGCTAAAAGGAGAAGACTGATATGGCGACATCTGAAAGAGGCATGGTGTGCGGAACTAGAACAATCTACTGCAGTGGGCATAATAAAGAGTTTAGTTTAAAATTCCAATCACCTGAAGAAGGCTGGAGTGTACAGTGTAAATAATGTAAAGAATTTATTTTTTTTATGAAATTCAAGGATAATTTTTAGATTTATTTTTGGATATTTTAGTAAATTTGTTCTTTGTCTCAGAATTTTGAGGCATTAATTCATATTTTAAAATCAAGCTTGAGAAAAAAAAACAAAAATACTTCTCCAGTCTAGTATTTGTATTGTTTCTCAGTTTTCTTATTTTTTAAAAAAAAAAAAAAATGTTTCCTCAAAACACATCTAATTAGTATTATCTTTTTTTCGTGTTCCATGTCTAAGTTTTGCACCAAATAACCAAGAAATGCAGGTATTGCTTGATTTAATTGTAGAACACATCAAATGGACTTCCTGCCAAATTTAACCAACCCAGCATCTCTCAACATTATCTTCCGGGTATCACGCACTCCACCTATCAACACTGTATGTCACAATGTAGTGTAAGGTAACACCCGTTTGCAAAAAGCCAGAAGATCTAAAGGCAAGTGCTCTAAACAGATATTCTTCCTTTCTCTTACTTTATCTTTTAAACATTTTTTTCTTGTTATTGTTAGTATTGCTATAGGCACAATTTTTTTTCTTATGCAATATGCATTGTAACATCCAGCTTCTGTTTAGCAGTTTGGAAATGTACACACCTTAAAATGTGGTTTGAAAAGTATGTGTGATTCTTTCTTCTTTCATGACAAAAGCAAACCTTCTGACATATCTATTTCAAATTACTCTTTGCATGAATGAAATACACCTATGGATAGTAAGACCCGTTTGTGAGAAGAGGATAACTTCCCAATAGGTAAACACATTTTTGAGCAATATCCTTATTGCAGGTCTAAATAAAATGAACAAACTGCAGAAAATATTAACTATTTTTTTCAACATTGTGCAGCATCTCCTAATATAGCCCTTATAGCGAACGTGCATCAGTGCAAATGCAGAAGAGGCCTCGGATTGCACATGGACATGTTTGTTAATACCAGTCACATTCAGATTTTTCCCCATTAGCAGCAGGACAGTTTGGTATGTCTAGATACAGGCCTCTCTGTAACTGGTCAAGTTCCAGGTCTTTGTAAAATGCCTCATATCAATACAAGCGGGGGGAAAACCAGCAGTTGGTAAGATATGATGTCATGTGAAGTTGGTCATATGGACATTTTGTTCCTGAAGTTGTGGTTTCTGAAATAGTGCTATTTTTGTTACCTCCTATCTCTTCCCTCCTCTCTGCATATTGCCCCCATAATTGCTGGGAGAGCAATCAGTTAGGTATTTCCCCACTAATTTCAACACACTCTTTGGTTACATTACTCTCTTAGAACTGTGAGATGTTTGAACACCTGCAGAAAATATTCTTTCTTAAACTTTAGCAATCTGTATTATTACTTTCCACTGCATTCTTTTTCAAGGCATCTCAATTGCAGTTTTTTTATTGTTAATTCCACTCAAAGTTGTTTTCTGTTGCCATATATGACAACATAACTAATAAATTCAAACACTATCAGTGAGGGATCAGAGTTACCTTCAGCGGCTTTTTATACAGAAAATGAAATCATATACAGAGTGATAAAGGTTAATATTTAGCAAATGATAATTCAAATTTTCATGATTAGTCAAGTAGATTTCTGAATAATTCTGGTTAGTAACAACAAGGAGTTTCTGGTTTTAAATATGTGGGAATTTCAAGCATTTTTAGTTGTTTACTGAAAGTAAAATGAAAACTATTTTTGCATATTCTAATTTTCAAAACTAACAAATTCATTTTTTAATACTGACCTTTTAATTTGGTTTTTCAAAATAAAACCTTGTGTTTTTATTGTCCTATAGAAAAAACAGAAAAAATACTGAATACAATATATAATAAGAAAATTAAGAATTAAATTATATAACTATAATAGATTAAATGGGGTGTTTGAAAACCCCACAGTAATAATGTTGTGATAATGCCCCACAGTAATAATGTTGTGATAATGCCCTACAGTAATAATGTTGTGATAATGCCCCACAGTAATAATGTTGTGATAATGCCCCACAGTAATAATGTTGTGATAATGCCCTACAGTAATAATGTTGTGATAATGCCCCACAGTAATAATGTTGTGATAATGCCCTACAGTAATAATGATAATGCCCCACAGTAATAATGTTGTGATAATGCCCTACAGTAATAATGTTGTGATAATGCCTCACAGTAATAATGTTGTGATAATGCCCTACAGTAATAATGTTGTGATAATGCCCCACAGTAATAATGTTGTGATAATGCCCTACAGTAATAATGTTGTGATAATGCCCCACAGTAATAATGTTGTGATAATGCCCTACAGTAATAATGTTGTGATAATGCCTCACAGTAATAATGTTGTGATAATGCCCTACAGTAATAATGTTTGATAATGCCTCACAGTAATAATGTTGTGATAATGCCCTACAGTAATAATGTTTGATAATGCCCCACAGTAATAATGTTGTGATAATGCCCTACAGTAATAATGTTGTGATAATGCCCCACAGTAATAATGTTGTGATAATGCCCCACGGTACTAATGGAGGGTTAAGAAACTAGCATTAATATTATCAGCTTATTTTCTATCTCCTTTCTCTTTTTCTTACTCTTTCCTCTTTTCAATTTCCTTCCTATTTCTCTCTATACTGTATTTCCTTCTTTTCTCTAGCTTTTCTCCTTTCTCTTTTCTATCATCTTTCTCTTCTTTCTTTTTCTCTGCTTTTCCTTTTCTTTCTCTTTTTTCCTTTCTGTTTCTATCTATATTTCCTTCATTTCTCTGTATTTTTCTCTTTTCCCTTTTCCTCTTCTCTAACACTTACATTTCTTCTTTATCATCTTCCTGTTCTCTATTTTTCCTTTTTTTTTTCTCTCCCTCTGCTTTCACTTTATCTATTTGTATTATTTCACTTTCACTTTCCTTGTCTCCCTCTTTCTTCATTCTCATTATCAGTTTTCTTTCCAGAAAGAAATGGCATAACATTTTCCCAGTCGATTTATTTTGTTCAATAAAGATTATTGTTTTAAACATTATAACTCAGCTTAAACCCATTTTATGAGGGACTAGCAGCATGGCCCGGCATTGCCCGTGCTTGATTAAAACATCATACAACACATACAGCAATCACTATCCCTTGACTTAAAATATTTTTGCCCTTCCTTGCCTTTAAAGGAGTGCCCTTTGCCGTGCTGATGTTGCTACATGCCTTACTTCTTGCCTATCTCACACTGCGAATTTTTTCTAAGCTCTATACTAAACATTAAATCTGTTACGAAAAAAGAACTAAACAAAATGAACACAAAATGATCAGCTTTAAAAAAGGACTCGTAACTGGAAAAACCGAATGAAAAAAGAATGTTAACAACAAATACTTTTTCACACCAAACCCAGTTCTGCAGAATCAGTATCAACATTGAGTTTAAGCAAGTGAATGAGCCAATTGGAGTAAAGTGACATGCACATTTAAATTTTTCCCACCTGTGACGAATGCAGCTATCGATTTTTTTTGCATGCTAGCATGCTAGTTGACATTCGTGTCAGTCAGCTGCTGGCTCTCACGCTGACCAATGGAATTTTCCTGCTTATTCATGGCAGCCAGCTATAGGCTCTCACTCTGGCCAGTAGAAAATGGCTGCAAAACTACATGAAAACTGCAGTAGAAGCATGAAAAAATGATTATTTCCACTATCGATGGGAGTTGGGAAATGCAATGTCAGTCTTGGCCTTCCCGCTAATTTGGAGCATGTGCATGTAAAATTTGGTGCAAATTTGGTGAAAATTGCAGCCATGCATTCGTTACACACACACACACATCCTGCCTTTTATAGAGAGAGGTTCTGAGAAAGTTCTCAGCCCTATCAAGAATTTTTCAAAAGATGAATAAATAAATAAATAAACAAAGTGTTTTTTGCTCTCTCTAGATATTCTTGGCATTGAGAACTTTAATGTGTAGGCAGGTGTTTGTCTGTTTTTCTTTTGTTTGGGATTTTTTTTTCTTTTGGCAAGTTGTCTATTGGTCACACCAACACTGTTGTTTTATTTTTTTTAATATGCTGTGGAACCTCAGTTCACAAATTTTCTTAAAGCCTGTTCGTAACTCGAAATGTTCATAAACCAAAACTATTTTTCCAAAAGGAATCAATGTAAAATGGATTAATCCGTTCCTGGTCCCAAGATGATTGCGCTTATTTAAACTTTAACAACAGTACTTTGTACTCAAGTTTATACACAAAACCAATGAATATCATTAAATCTAAGAAAAAAATAAACAAAACTCAATACTAAACAGATAAAAAAAAGACGAACACCTCACTTTTGCAGTACCTGCATGTAGGAGAGTTGATGGCGTAAGTGAAAGGGGAAGGAAAGAGATGTTATTGTTTGGAAAAGGGAAGGAAAGACATGATTGTCTCTTTACTTATAAGAATAGTATAGATCATTGATTTTGCCATATGAAAGTGAGTAGGAAGAGACAATATCATCATCATCATCATAGAAACAATATCATCAACAATTGTTTTTCTCTTAACTTTTCTTTTTCCTTTACCAGTATCACTGCTAGCTTTCTTTGGAGCCATGACTGAGGACTAATGAAGAGAAAAAATGGTACAGTACAATAAAATTGGGAAAGAAACACACAGCACAGCACAAAACATGAATGTATACAACATGGGGGTCGACTAAGAAATGATTCCATTCAGGTTAACTCAGTTCCGTTCAGTAATGTTATTTGAAAACAAAAATTTTGTTTGATAACTGAGGCATTTTCATTGTGAATATTCTGTTTGTAAACAGATTCATTTGGAATGTGAGACATTCAAGAACCAAGGTTGCACTGTATAATATATATATATATATATATATATATATATATTAATTAACAAAATATATATATATATATATATATATATATATATATATATATATATATATATATATATATAATTAACCCAAATTTTATAAATCTACCAAAAAAGAAATATTAGAATAACATAATAAATTGCTTATATTGGAAAGAAAATAATTACACATTTCTACATACCATGTCTCTTCAGGATATAAGTCATTACGGCTCTCCACAGCTTCCTTTTTCGTTATTATCTGTAAACAGTGCATTACTCTGTTCTTATGGATGATATTGGAAGAATTTTCCATTGTCTTTGTCATATTTTTTAAAGTTGAACTTTTCTGAGGCTGGGTACCATCCAAATTCAAAGAACTCAATCTCCCAATTAATTTAACCTTTAACTAGAAGATGAAGAGTCTAATTTCAGTAGTAGAAACTATCCTTCATTTAAATAAAACATTCACTCACTGAATGAAATATATTGGTCTTTACAAACCATTATGAAACTGTAGATTTTCTGTACAAAATGAATTCAGAAAACAAAAAAAAACAACAAATAATAGATCAACAGTTAGACAAATTCTGGCAGACATATCTTTGAAAATAAGAGTTTAGGTGTTAAAAGTAAAAAAAAACCTACAAGCAGTTTTATTATTTGCAGATTTCTTCAAAACTTTTGACTATATACTGAGGCAAAATGAAAAAGATTATCTCAGATTATTGAATTCCTAATGAGAAACTTACTACAATAAAGATGCTATAGAGCAACAACATTCTCAGGTCTCTAGATAGGAAGAGTGATTTCTTTGATGTTCAAGCTGGCCTCCTGCAGAGTGATACATTTTCACTATTCTTTTTTATTATTATTCTAGACCAATAATTTTCAAACTTTTTTTCTCTGAGCCGCGTTTTCAGAATGAAAATTTGCTTGCACCTCAACAAATTTCATTTGATAAAAAGTACACTAAAAATAATAAACAGAGAGAGGTTTAAAGGGAGATAACCACAGATTTGATGTCAGAATATTAGCATTGATAACTCTCTCCTCCAATATGAGCCTAATTAATACTTTTTTAATATTTGACATAATGCAAAAATGTCACAATCATAAAATCAGTGAATAATTATTATGAAACTGTAGATTATATATTATAATTTATTCATAATTTAGATTATATATTATAATTTATTTCTTTATTTATACTGGGATTCATGCATGCAATCACAAATAATCCATAATAATATTTTAAATTTTGAAATAATTTATTTTTGGTATGTAAATTTTTAAAAATTGTTTCTAAATCTTTGCATGTCTTTCAATCATTCCGTCTACCCTCTTCTGCCTCACCTGCTATCCTTTTCCGCCTCCCCTGCTACCCGCTTCTACCGCCCCTGCTATCCTCTTCTGCCTCACCTGCTATCCTCTTCTACCTCCCCTGCTACCCTCTTCTGCCTCCCCTGCTACACTCTTCTGCCTCACCTGCTAAGCTCTTCTGCCTCACCTGCTATCCTCTTCTGCCTCACCTGCTATCCTCTTCTGCCTCACCTGCTACCCTCTTCTACCGCACCTGCTATCCTCTTCCGCTCCCCCTGCTACCCTCTTCTGCCTCACCTGCTATCCTCTTCCAACTCCCCTGCTACCTTTTTCTGCCTCTCCTGCTACCCACTTCTGCCTCACCTGCTATCCTCTTCCGCCTCATCTGCTATTCTCTTCCGTCTCAACTGCTATCTTCTTCTGCCTCACCTTCTTTCCTCTTCTGCCTCACCTGCTACCCTCTTCTGCCTCACCTGCTTTCCTCTTCTGCCTCACCTGCTTTCCTGCCTCACCTGCTACCCTCTTCTGCCTCACCTGCTATCCTCTTCCGATGCCCATTTGGGAACCACTGCTCTCAATCAGTGGTTCTTAATCTTTTTCTTTTTTTTGGCCCAACACACCCTTTTCACTCTATGTCAGAATGTCATTCTCCCCCACTTTCCAAGACTGTCCATCTGAAAAGACACATTCCAAATAGTATGCATATATTATTGAAAATCTTCATTCTTTTCCATATTAGTACATACATGGATTATTTTTATAGGGAATTCTTACAAATTTAATTGTAATAGAAAATGTTGATGTATTTTTAAACTTGAATAAATGTACAGTAATTTGTTTTAATTCATAACTAATTATTAAATAAATTGAAGCATACTTCAATAAACACAAAGTTCAATAGAATGCCAAAGTATTGGAATTCAATAAACAAAACTCTGTAAATAAAAAACAAGAAAAAATAAAAGATCCCTGTTTTGGAACCCTGGAATTCTCCTTGATGTGAATTCCCCCATCCCCCCTCTGGTTGAGAATTCCTGCACTAGATAATGTGTCCAGAATGTCTCTTGACAAAAATCAATGAATTAGGCTTGACTGTTTTAGAGCTGCAATCTTGCAGGTAGTAAAAGTATCACCAATGCAGATGATGGAGATGACCAGGCCAAAGACAATGAAACAAAACAGCTGCACAGTCTTGGGAATGCTGCTTTGGATGTAAATGTTGCTTTGGATACTTCATGTAAATGTTGGAATGACCAAATTTATCAGCTTTAAATGATGGGGCTGTAGAAACACCTTCAATGAAGATCTTCCCAAAGCAGCAGTTTCTTTCTTTTAACTTGACAGCAAAATCATCACCGCAGAAAAAGATGCCAAATTCGGTATAGCTGAGGTATGAAGCACCCGAAATAAACTGAATGTCATTTAGAAAGCAAACATAGCAGAGGATCTTGAATGCAGTTTCTTTTTCCCCACGAGTCGAATTGTTTATTTTTTATTCTGCAAAAAGACTTAAGAATTAAAGTTAGATGTCTAGAGCTGTGCTGAGCATCTCATGGAATTGGTTCCTTGTGGGAAGCTCCCACAAGGTACCTATTACTGTATTTGCCAGCCTACTGTGACACACCCAGATTTTGGCATGGAATATTTATGAAAAACAAATGCACCCATAACCAAAACGAATCAAAATTATAACTTTACCTTTATATGACATTTTCACTAACCATGAAAAAACACTTATAGTATTAGCACAAATTATACTACTGGTACTTTTTTTTAATAGAAGTGAGGTAAGGTTTAATCACCAGGACATTTTTGGGAAAAAAAACATTTTAGTACATTTCATCATGCAATTATTGAAAACTGTTTAGTTGTTTTTCAGGGAGCAACATCTGCACATAAAGTAAATTCATAATAGCTACAAAGAAACCTACTCATATCAATGAACACTGACACATATGGTAATAGGTAAAAAAACAGAAATATGCTACTTGTTGGTAAATGAAGTCCCATACCATAGATGCAGAAAAGCATATTCCAATACATGTATATCAACAAAGACACACAAAGTAAACAGCGATATATCAGTTAAAGCAAATATTTCTATAAAATCTGGTATTTCTACAAAACAAGCAGCAAAATATTGTGCAATTCCATAAATTTCTTTCTCCTGGGTGAGTTTTCAGGGATATTTTTATGAATATCATGTTTGTTCACTTCAAAAATGTTTAAACAAAGGTAAGAGAATTTGTTATTCATAAAAGGGATATACAGTTGCATACATTCAAAGATTAGATGAAGAGAGATAGTTTGAAGTACTTAGCTTTTTTGGATTGTTGAAATAAACTTCTTTGAAGTGGCAAGTGCTTGGTTAAGGCCAATAATATAAATGGCAAGTAATTTGACACTGGCAATAATTTCAAGTTTGACTTGAGAACAGAAATAAAACCTTTCACTTGACTTCAGACACTTTTTCTTGTTAATTTAATTTTTTCCATATTTTATATCAAAAACGATTTTGCACAGACTCGTTATTTTTTTCCTTTCTTTTTCTTGTCTCAACAGCTAATTTCTGTGAAAACAAGGTTTTCATTGATCCAAAATCAATTTCATATAGACTTGTGAATTTATTACCATCTTTTCTTAGCTTGACGGCAAATCTGTGTGAAGGCAAGGTTTTCATTGGTTCAAAGAAAATTTCAAATACACTTGCAAATTTCTTTCTGTCTTTTTCCTCAGCTTGTCCAAATTTGAAGGAAGTTGGTAAAGGGAGTTATTATTTGATATTCACCACAAAGCCATGTTGATCAATTTGTATCAGTCCACAATCTTTGATAGAGTTTTTTAGTCTATGGCTGTATTCCAGTTGCACTTTCTCTGTTGTATTCACCACTTGTATGCACCCCACCCCCAGAGTTGTAATGGAAGTGAACAGGGTAAGATTGAAGCTTTCATGCCCAGATCAATTCACCAAGGTTGTCCATTGTCACCCATGCATCAGTTGAAGGGGTATCTAGTCCTACATGAAATCATGTTAACTGGGCCTACCATCTCACCCAGCAAAACTGCCTATGCTAATGGCATCGTCCTGTTTGGAATGAACAATGTTGAGATCAAGGAAGTTGGTAAAGAAATCTGGAGATATTTAAGACAATTTCAAAAGCACAATTAACTGCCATAAGTCTGTTGGCTTTTGCAGTCGAGTAGAGTTTGTGAAAAAAATGTCCTCACATTCCTTCAGTTGGATTGACTGAATACTTGGTGTGTGGTTTGCTCCCAACATTCAGCTGGAAAAGAGTTGGTTAGAAGTATTGGGGCATGCATTACATACATCTGTCGACTGAAAACAGATATAAACACCAAGCCAGTCCATCATCAAATGACAAAAAATAATGATTTCTGAGTCGAAGGATCTGTACACCCTTCTGGTTAATAAATTAATCCTCTGAAAATTAATGTTTAAAATTTTCAACCAACAGGTTGTGTTCTGGTCAATAATAAGATACATGATTTGTGATCCCTTTGAAGAGTATTTAAGCAAAGTTTCTAGACCAGACAAGTCAGTAAGGAACGGCAATAGACAGCAACAGTTCATGGCAATGCTTAATAGAGATTGCTCTACTCATTCACCCATCTTTCTCACCAATCTACGTGACACTTACACTCTTCTACACCAAGCTACATGACACTCACACTTTCCTCCTTACTTTCTCCCTTGCTTCTTCTTTTACACACATACACATGAAAAAATCACATTTCTTTTCATCTTGACAAACAAGGAAATTTAACACAAGAACTTTAACACTCATACTTGCTGAGAAAAATATTTTCTATTTAAAAACATTTCTTTCTTTTTTTGTTGTTGTGGATTGATTCAAATCCACAACACATCTACCCTATGCCATTCCCATCCACTAGGACACTGTTTTACGTCCTCTGGGGTCACAGAGTTCCTATTAAATATGCCATCTTTCACTGCCTGATTCTAGGCCCGTTGTGTGAACTTATTGAAAGGTCCATGAAGGGTTCATGAAAAGTCATGAAGGGTCATGAAGTGTCCATGAAACTATTGAATGGTCCATGATTGGTATGCCATGTGGACAATTTTTTGTCTTGGAAGCCAGTTGTATTTGCAGCAATGTGAGCTTGTTTTTTGGGGCAAAAAAAATGTGTTTCTGTGCTTGCTAGCAGTGATTCTTGTGGTGGTATGGACAACGAGGATGGATGAATTACTTCTTTCTTCCAATCATCTAGGTGAGTGCTTTAAGCACCAGTTGGAGATCAAGATCAGAATGGAGAGGGAGAAGCTCTCTTTTGATGATTTTGCTAAAAGGTGAATGAATGTTGCACGCCTGGTACAAATGAATGGAACTAAACTGAGCAAAGTAGCATTTCAAGCTGACTGAACTTATGGTCACATCATATTGAAACACTGGTTACATACCACCACCAAAGATGAGCAATGTCGAGCCTGGTCAGTATGTAGAAGGAGAGTCAATTTCCAATACCTGTTGGGTTTGCTATATTCACAATTCGCAAATGTGAAAGGTATGACTCCACTTCTTCTCCCCCCAACTATGGGTTAATTAGTAAGACTTGTATCACTAAATCAATATCATCTAAAAAACATGGTTGTAAATAACCTGCAAAGTGTTGCTAAGCTATAGAAAAAGAATAAATCAATCAATTGAGCTGACTGGTTGAAGAACTGAGAAAAAACTTTCCTGACCTGCCAACTTTGGTTACAATAGGTAGGAACAGCTTTGTTTTAGTTTCTTTTTAAATTGATTAACTTAGCTCAAAATAAATGGTCATTGGTCTCTTTTCATTTTTTCAGTTGCTCTCATTCTGGTTTTTCATTTTTTCATTTTTTCCCTTGTTAGGTGCGACAGAAAGCACACATTTCTGGATTTGTGGGAACATTTCATTTAATTTTTTTTCTACACATTCTCACTCTTTTTCACCCAGTTAACTTACTTTTCTATCAGTTCTTAGACTGTGGGCTTCCATACTAATGCCTTCTTTTTTGATTGTACAATATAATTTTTGATTCAAATCTTAGAGGAATTTATTTTTTAATGATGTAAGCATAGAAATAATAGAGAGGATGTTGTAGTAGATGCAGAGCTTCAGGCGATAATATGAAAATTTACTCTTGCAGAGGCAGAAATGGGTAACCTGGAAGACAGAACCTTGTTGTTGTTACTGTTGTTAATTCATTCTCCACCTCAGCAAATGTAAATTCATGCAGAAAGAAGACATTGAATATGAGTAAATAAATGTATAATTTATTTACATATATACAAAACTATTAACTTCTATCTGTAGGCAATAAGGAGAGAGAACGTTGAATTTAGAAGTGAAAGAGACATTGGTGATATCTGTCATTGTTGGTGGCATTTCTCTCTCAGCACATAAGTGTTGACATCAAAAGCTGGTCTGTTTCGGGTTTGTTTGAATTAGAAAATATATAGCCGTCAATCAGCTCTGAATTAAGGTTTTGGTTTTTTGAGTGGGAGTGGATCTGACTGGTCAATATATTGTTTGTTTTATTTTGATTAAAGTGGATGTCTGCATAGAGCCAATGCACAGAAA